AAAACATGATAGGCAAGCCATGGGGTACAGTAGAAAAAGCACTGGGCCCTGGGGTCCAAGATCCTGGGTTCAAATGCTTCTTACCTGTCATTTAACCTCAGGCTTGCGTTTAAGCTCCCTGGGCCTCAGTTTCCTTATTTAAAAATTGAGGGGGTTGGATAAAATGACCTCTCAGGCCCCCCCTAGTTTTATAGCTATATGCCAATTAGAATTTGAAAAGAAAGGAAAAAGAAATTAATATTCAGTCGGAATACATAGGTTGAAGACTCAACTCTGACTATCCCTCGGTGTGTGACCTAAGGAAAATCCCCTGAGTTCTCTGATATTTGGTGGCCTCATGTGGAGAAGGATAGTTAACATTTCTAGTCAGCAGCTCCTTTGAACTATGGAAGGATGATGATGCTGGACTGAGATGGTGAGGTCAGGTGTCAACAGAAAATAGCTTTGACGTGGCCCCAGTGGAATGTCTGAGGGATGCAGGGCTGCATCGGATGGGCCTCGGCCTGCCTGGATGAGTCAGCTGCAAAATGTGGCCCCAATGGGGGGGCTCAACTATCCCAGGGAGCAGGTAACTGCCCATTTCCAAACTGGAGAATGTCCCCAGCCCAGCAGGGAGGCGGGTGGCTGCCACACGGCAGTTCTGAACAGAAGCCAAAGAGAGTGGACCTGGGCCAAGGCAGGCAAGAAGCTTGAGTCATCCGAGACCACCAGAGGAGGAAGGAAATGCTCAGCCTTGTCGCAGAGTGAGGAAGTGGGTGGAATCAGCAGGAGAACTGGGGGCCTGGGTGGGCTGCCTGCTGCGGAGTCTGTGGGCTAGGGTATGGATAAGAACCAGTGAAACCCAGAGGAGGCTGCTCCTCTGTGCCCATCTGAGCTGTGTGACCAGAGCCGAGCGAGTTCCCTCTGGACCTTGGTAAAATGAGATTAGAGCAGTTGACCTTGAAATACCTTCCAGGTCTGATGTCCTATATTAGATCTTCCAAGGTCCCTTCCAGTTCTGACTTTCTATGTTGTATGTCCTAAAGGGGCTTTCCTGCTCCGGTATTCTGTATTCTCAAGTCCCTCCTGAACCCTGATGTTCCATATTCTGAGATCCCTCCCAGCTCTAGCATCTTACAAGTCTTCCTGAAAGCAGACATGTGTGGCATGTTTGGGGACCTAAGTTTTCCTCACACTGTGGAATCTGTCAGTTGTGACTTAGTGTGCTTATCTGTAGGGGCCAGGACAAAGTCATGATTGGGGTGGGGCAACTTTGCCGCAGGGTGCTAAGACACAGAAGATGCTAACAGTGCTTGGGCTCCTTCAGCGGGTAGAAATAACTGAGTTCAGCACCTAGTACCAAAAAAAATAAAAGAGTTAAAATAGGAAGAGACCAGAGAGCATGGCTCCTTCCCCACCTACTTACCCCAAGATGATCTCATCTCCAGCCCAGGTCTACCTTGCTTCCTCTCCAATAGCCATCCCACAGTGTCCACACCTCCAAGGTGTGGCCCAGCAACCCTCTTCCCATGATGCCTTGTGTTCAAGACCTCCAGGGTTCTCTCCCACCCCTTCCCACTCCCGAAAAACAAAAAACCCAGACTTGGTCTTTAAAAATGTATTTACAAATGCTTGCTTGCCGTGGTACATTCTATGGCATTTGGCCTGGACATCTGAACTGCCAATTACCTTTCTGTGGAAGGTGGGAAGGGGAATGCATAGGGGAAAAAGATAAAGCAAGTATACCCCACCCATAGAGGTGGATATGCCCACCACTCTACATTCTACAAACTTGCCCCATACCTTTCAGCCTTTCTGTATCTGTATACTCTCTTTTCTATGCCTAGACCATCCTCTTCTCCATAAGTCTTCACTTGTCAACATCCTTCCCACCCTTCAAGACCCAACTCAAATTCCTGTTCCATGAAGCCTTCTATCATCTCCTGAGCTGAAAATGATGTCTCCCTCCTCTGATCTAATATCACTTGGTGGTCCTCATCATATTACAATTTGTATGATGTTTATTTATGCCTTATCTCCTCCTGTCTCTTTATTTCCCTCTCCTAGACTATGAGCCCTTATACAGGAAGTGTCTTATTAATTTGGACCACTGTACATTGATGGATGAATGAATGAATGAGAGAGGCTGGGAGCCAAGATCATTAACTCAGGAGGGGAAACATTATCACTTTGTCCCCTTGGCAGGTGGCAGTGGGAGGTTAATGTGAGAAGAACAAGGGGACCTTTAAGCCTCTCTGTTCTGAGAGGTCAGGTAGAGCATCTGGTCTGTTACAATGAATGTCTCCTACTCTAGGGGGTCACCCCTGGCAATGACCAAACTCCCTGGTGTCAAGCCATGAAGCATAGCCTGGATATCAGGCTTTATTCCAACCCTGTGGCCTGATGGAAATCACAGCCTATCGAATTTTTTTCCAACCTCAACAATTTGGGGGGGGGGGATTCCTCCCTCCCCCAATTGAGGGGAGGTAGAGGCAAAGGCAGCAGGGATAGAAATGCCAAGATGGATTTCACCTGGCATGAACAGACAAAGGGAGCCGAGGCAAGGTTTTGGAATGATGCACCTGGCTCTTTGTCCTTACAGCTAAACACTGGGACCAACCCCTGTCCTGGGGACATAGGCAGCCCTGGGTCAGCATTATCCATCTTGTTGGGGGTCCCCTTCCCACCCTGGTGTCTCTGACCCCTCAGTAACTCCCAACATATTTCTCCCTTTGCCCACAGGTCCACCTGGTCCCCTGATTCCCCATCAGAATGAAACTCCAGCCTGTAAACCCCAGAATCCATATGGTAGAATACCTGATACCTCCTAATGCAGTTACCTGAAAGTGACTTCTCACCTACCTGGAGCTCTGCCAATCACCTGCCCCACCCCTGCTCAGACAGACACCCTAGAGCTGGGGAGGACATGGTGAAGTGGAAAAATCACTGGAGTTGGTAGAAGCTTAGCTCTGATACTAATTGGGCCAGTCAGCCTCTCTGAGCCTCAGTTTCCTGCTCTGAATAATGCAAATAACAGCATCAATGTCCTCTTACTCAAGGGATGGTTATGGAAAATAACACTTAAAGAGCAAAAGAAATGTGTAGTATTATTATTTCCCTGGACCTTGGGCAAATGATAAATCATCCCTCTCTCCCTTCCTTCTTCCAATAGAAGAATAAAGCATAGAATATCAGAGTGAAGCAAAAGGCATTTACTTAAAAGGGATCTAAGGTAACTAACAAGGAATTTAAACAATCAGCAAGTCCTCTCACTGACTGTTTCCGTCTAGGGATTAAAGTGAGTCTGGTCTTAATGCCTCTTCACAAGAGAAGAGGAACAAAAGGGGTTTCATGCACAACATGAGTGTTAAAGATTAGAACTGAAGGAATTCTCGACTGGGGACGTTTCTGTCCCACCTTGCCACGGTGCTGGAAGCCCGTACTCCTCAGTTCAGCAATCACGATGCCTGTTGAAACTGAGGGCCATGCTGAGAACACTCCTCCTCAGCAGACAGCTGACGAACAAGATGCCAAGGTCAGCTACCAGCCGCCCTTTAATCCCTTGCTCTGTCCAGGAGGCCTGGGTTTCTATAACCCCACATCTTCCTAAGATTCCCATCCTCCCTCCATTCAAGCTGGGAGTGTTAAAAGCTGCTAAGCTCACATGCAGGCTTCCAAAAGATGTAGTTCAGAGACTCCTGGTTGCCTTTAAACACATGTGCTGACCAGTCTCTCCCTCAAATAGCTAATGCACCACTGGGAGTTCAGAAAGGACTAGCACCTGTGGTGTAAGGGCTTACCAAGCCCTTTTCAGGGCTGCTCAGCTGCTTTTGGTATCCACCTTTTACCCAACTCTTATCTATGGCTCCAAGAAGCTGTAGCATGGGCAGCAGCCACACCCCAATAAAACTGTCTCAGCAGCTCAGACTCTTCACCCTTCCCTTTTTCTCCCCTCTTCCTCCCTTGCCTCCCCTCCCCTTTTCCTATCCTTTCCCATCCCCATGCTTCCCTCCATCCTTTCTTCTTTCTCCCTTCCCCAGCCTAGACAATGCCATTATGGAGATGGCCAAGGAGGCCATGGAGCCCACAGAGGCAGACATCATGGTGCTGTGCCAGGACACGATCTCCAAAATGGCCACGTACCTGACAGGTGAGCTAACGGCCACCAGTGAAGACTATTAGCTTCTGGAAAATATGAACAAACTGACTAGCTTGAAGTATCTAGAAACGAAAGCTATTGCACAGAAACCTAAAGACCTCAAACCAGAAGTCTGCAGCATTTCAGCCTTAACCAGCTCAGATCACTTTAACTGCGTAGCAGCTCTGGAGCAGGCAGCCTACAAGTTGGATGCACATGCAAAGAAATGAAAAGCAAAGGACAAGAAGTTAGAGAGGTGATGAAAGAATTCTTTAGCACAAAGACCTTAACTACAAGAATGTTTCATGAGAGCTGAAATGTGCCGGATGGAACCTATTAAACCTCTATGCTTCAGTTCCATAAAGGAAAGCGGTGCTGCTGATCCAAGGAGAATCCCAGGCACCACCTTGGGTTGGATATGTGACTTTGGCCGCCCCTCGATGTCTTCCTAAACCTATGCCCCCTGGAACTTCAGCCTATCCTGTGCTTCATTGCGTGCCCTGGACCAAGCTCAGAAATCAGGATCAACCCCGTCTAGGGCAGGCACAGATGAGAGGCTCTGGTCTCCCTGTCACCTCCCTCCTCTCCCTCTCCTAGGGCTCCCGCTTTGACTCTTTGTTCTGAATTGCCCTTTACCCACTTCATCATCTGTTCTTGAACTTAAATAATAAATACCAATTTATGACCGTAAAAAACTGTCTTAGCAGATGGGCTAAATCAGGTTGAGGAGAACCAGTGAGCCTCAAACCCATTGGTGAATTAGGAGGATGTCTACCCCAAGCATGTGAGGACTTCCCCTGGCAGAATGGGTAGATGAGAACAGTTTGTTCCAATGTCTGTGAAGGTGGCTGAAGCAGGCACTGTAGAATGCTTAGAGCTTGAAAAGACGTCAAAGAAGCCAAGGTCATCCACTGCATCTGGGCCATTGCCAGTAGTCTTGACTTTTATCCCGCCACTGGCCTTCACTGACTCTAGAAGGGAGAGAGGCTCATGACTTTACACAACTCTGCCTCCCTTAAATCCAATTCACCGGCAAGTCAAGACATCGCCCCATGATGTCATTGGCCCTCTTTGAAAATGAAGGACAAACAACAATGCACCACTGCTCCTCATGTGCATATAGCAGTTCACAGTTTCCAAGGTGCTTTCACAAATATTATTTTATTTAGTCTCTAGCTTCATTCCAATGTCCCAACACTCCACCTTCACGCTACCTGACAGCTCAGGCTCATCCAGGTCTGGCTCATGCCACGGCCAGTCGGTCCTGGCACCTCCCTCGGGCATTCATCCCCCTGTCCCAAAGCAGCTGTCAGAAGTGAGTCACTGAAAGGTACTAGTCAGAAATGCTTCTTTAAAAGGACAGATCTGACATTGGGATTTCTAGTGTAATGTCTGGCAATTTTACTGATCAAAAGGGAACAGTGAGACTCACATTTATGAAATCCATTGAGGGAGCAGCTGGAAGAGACGCCAATCATAGCCAGGGCAAAGACTGGCATCAGTGCCTTATTTCCCAACTGTTCATTTGCATTTGTTCACAAAGAAAGCTTTAGAATTAATAAGTGGAGAACCCTGAAATCCAAAACTGTTTTGTGGTTATTATGAACGCCCATTGTCTGCTTATGGCTTAGCCAGAAGAAATGATGATTTGGTAATACACTGATTCTTCACTGAGAGGACTCAGCCCTGAACCAAGATGGGTTGGTCTCAGAGCACTGAGGAAGAGAAGCACTACCTCTGTGAACTGCCCCCAAAAGAGCTTTTTTGATCTGCAGAACCACACTGGGAGGTAGGTGCTAATTATTATCCCCATTATACAGTTGAGGAGACTGAGGGAAAAGAGTTTAAGTGACTTACCCAGGCTCAGCCAGCTAGGAAGAATCTGAGGCTGAATTTGAACCCAGCATTCCTAAGGCCAGACTCAGTGTTCTATCCACTGCAGCCAGCAGCTGCCTCTGAGAAGAAGGACGTGCCTCAGAAGGAATTATGAGAAAGACAGGATCCACTCTGACAGGACACATCAATCTACCTTTTGTGGCCTTTACTATCATCATGGACAAGCTGCAAGAAGGAAATTGGTGATTTTTTTTTCTTTTTGATCTCATTTTTACAAAATCTTCTCTGTAGTCAGTAGTCCTAAGCAGTAGGCCCAGAGAGGACCATAGAATCCTAGGTTGAGAACTAGAAGGTACCTTAGAGGCCATCCAAACTAATGCTTCCATCTTACAGATGAGGAAACTGAGGCATGAAGGGGTAAAGTGCTTAGCACAGTACCCAGCACATAGTAGGTACTTAATAAATGTTTGTGATTGAAGTGACTGCTGAGCAAAGTTGTAGAGTGATAGACAAGATTTGAAGCCAACTCCTCTGTTTCCAAATGCAGCACCCACTCCATGGCATCTCACACTGTCTCCTTGGAGCTCTCTTAACCAACTCGCAATTTATGATTGTAAACTCAGATTTTCATGGTGCAAATCTAGAGATAAAGATAGCTCCTTTTCACTAACACACCCATATCACACACACACAATCACAATCACAAAGACCCCTTAATGGTCCAGTTTCACACTGGTCTTGTCATCAAAAAGGAAATCAGTTACTTGGGCTTGTCCATAGTTGGGCACTCCCAATAGACTGTAAGCTCCCTGAGGGCAGGGACTGTTTGGGTTTGTAGCCTCAGCTCCTGGCCCAGTCCCTGGCCCGTCTGCAAGGGCTTATGGAGTGTTTGTACATTTGAGTTGGGGAGGCAGAGGGATACAATGGGAAGAATGCTGTCAGAGGCCCTGGGTGTGGAGCCCTGCTCTACTCCTCAGGTGATGCTGGACAAGTCACTTCAAAAGCCCTAGGCATACATTTCCTCACCTGTAAAATAAGAGGGTGGCGCCAGACCACGTTTAAGGTCCTTGCCAGCTCTAAATCTGTGCATCTGTGAATTGAATGAGATCCCTCCCTGGGTCCTGGGGTAGCAAAAATTGAAATAATTTTTTTTTCTGCAGATAGAAAAGACAACTTCCCCTCTGTGAAGGGTTGGCAGGCAGGTGGCCAGAGCGTGCTGGTTTTGTGCAGCTGAAGGTGATCCTTGTAAGTATTGTACAAGTGTTTCTTGGTTAGGTGCAGGCTGGGCTCCCTTCCAGCTCAGAGAGTCTGTGATTCTGGGGATTAAGCACAGAGGCAGCTGAGTGAGGGCGGGCCATGGCACTCAGGTTGCCTCCCTCCCAGCTCCATAAACGCCGAGGAATTTCCCAGGGGGCTCAAAGCCTCAATGTCCAGTCCAAGATGTGCCTGTGGGAGGCTCCACACCCTCTGGCCCAGGCTCCCACAGCTAGAACCTGAAGCCAAGGGGCCAGCTCAAGAGCTATTTATATCCCTGATAAAAACCCAGCAAAGAAGTTAGGGTGGAGGAATGCAAAGTTTAAAGCTCATTAGGACCTTCCAGTGTACACAATCTAACCCCTTAACCCTCACTTGGGGCTCTTCTTTCACCCTGTCCCCATCCTGTTACCTGCACACAGACCCCCTTGTTCTGCCCTGCAGAAGCCTTACCTGCCCCATCCAAGGCTCTTCCTAGGCACCAGTGATTTTTAGGGTGAGTGAAGCAAACTGAGGCAGAGAGCAGAAGCCATTCTCTCCCAGAAACTCAGAGCTGAAAGGGACCTGAGAGGCACATGGTCTAAGCAGGAATTCCCCTCAACACCATCCAGCCCCCAGCTGAAGTCTGCTAGTGAGGGGAGCCCACCCTCTCCCCTAGCAGCCTGTTCTACTGTGGCACCGTTCTAATGGTTTAGAAGTCTTTCCTTCCATTGATGCTAAACCAGTCTCTTTATACAGCCCCTTGGTCCTTGGTTTTATTTCCTGGGGCCAAGCAGAGAGAGTCTTTCATCTGCTAGCCCTTGAAATTCTGGAAGACACTCAGCATCCCCATCTTCTCTTGTCCATGCTAAGCATCCTCAGTCCCTTCACCTCATCCTTGTTTGCCCTGGTCTCCAGTCTCCTCCTCACCGTACCGCTCACTCTCCCTGTACACTCCCCAGTGAGTTGGTGCCTTTTTCTTAACTGGGTCACCCAGAACAGACCAGTCCTCGAGATGTGGTGTGAGCAGGGCAAAGTATGACAGGACTATTGCCTCTCTGGTTCTGGACACTGTTACTACCTTAATGCAGCCTAAGATAGCATTACATTGGTCATGCCATACCTTGGACTCACTGAATGTGTAGCCCATTAACACTCCCAAGCCTCTGTTGTACATACTAAGCATCTCTCCAGGGGAGGCCTTCACTCCCTTGTGAACCAACTAGGTTCATTATTCCATTCTCCCTGCCACAGTCCCATGCTACCCAACAGAAGATCCTGGATACCAGGTCTCTGTGACCTTCCAAGAGGTGCTGGTAAATGTTTAACAATTGGCTTTCCAGGGGGAGGGGGAAATGTCCGCAGGACTTCAGTTTCAGCTGCATTTTTCAACATTTTCTTCATCACTTTCTTAAGTCTAGACAATCAACAAAGCAATAAATCGAACCCTGACCGGTAGGGCTTGCCAACGTCCAAGGTGTAAATGCTCACACTGAAAATTGAACAACCACCTTTCCCCATGCATCCCAAGTTAGCTCCAGCTCGCCCCTGCCTTGAGCCCTTAGCATTATTCTGAGCAGGGCCAAGCTCAGGCTGGACTTCAGGGGCCCCCTGGCAGACAGAGAAGGAAGGACCCCCCCCCAGCAGTGAACAGAGCCTTCACCAGGAAGCAGTTGACTTCATGAGCAGAGGCCTGTCCCAGGCAGTAGAGAGTCAACGCAAGAAGGGGAAGTGAGTCCCATGAACCCCACCTGAAAGGAAAGGAAAGGAAAGGAAAGAGAGGAGATTCTGAGAAAGCTTTGTTCACTTATCAAAACCGGACCCCGCACTCTCTGCAGGGGTCACCGTGGGATGGTTGGTTTCTAGAGAGGGAACAAAAGCCCAGCCTGGCTTTCTGGCTCTCCAGCTGTGAGGGAGTGTTCAAGTCATCAGAATACCATCTGTCCGAGAAGAAATGTTCCAACTCCTACTCAATTTAGATGAAAACTTCCTGGCCCCTGTTCAAGCCAGCCCGTCCCTGCGGCCCCCAGAGCCCAGACTCCTGCCTCAGCAGGCGCCCAGCCCACACTCCAAGCCTCCCAAGGAGTCAGACTGTCAGGACACAGTGACAGGGCCTTTCCCCCCCTTCCTCTCCTCTTTCTTCTCCTTCTTCACTCTCATGTCTTTAAGGCAGAAATAGGTGGAGCCCAAAACAGGTTACAAGGGCTGTTGGGAGGGCCCTTTATGGACAGGCTTGGGACTTCCAAACTGGGCCGGAGCCCCACCTTGACCTGCCATTGCCCCGAGCTATTTTTGAAGTCCTCAAGCTTCTGAGCCAGAGAGATAAAGAGATGACCAGTCCATGTGCTCAGAACGCCCCAATCTAGGGCCTGTATTTTTCCACGCTGAGCTGGGCTCAGGAGAAAAGAGCCTGTTTCTCGTACACCCTATGCCCAAGGGTAAGGATAGGTCCTTTTGGACCTGGGTGGGGTTCCTGAGAGAGGAGCTGAGCTTCAGGTGGAGGAGAATTTCTGGGCCCAGGCAGGGGTGGCAGGAAGGCGGCAAGCCTGGCTTCTCCCTATCCCTTTGCCTCCCCTCCCAGGGCTCCCTGGCCCTTGTCTTCAGGCTCTGCATTCTTGGGTGCCCCCCTTCTTCCCCTTCCTCCTTCCTTCTCTCAAAGACCCCCCCCCATAGATTTCCACCCTTTGCACCCACACATCCTGTGGCTTGCATGAAGACTACTGTTTCTTCCCCCACCTAAGTCTGGGAGCCTGTCTCATTGGCATGGGGGCTCATGAGTTCCTGGCTCCAGGCAGAAATGCCAGCTCCTTTCTTTATCCTTCCGAGGCTTAGATCCCCAGAATTATAGACTGTCAGAACTGGAAGTCCTCTCAGACAACATCAAGCCCAACCCCCACCTTAAAAGAGACCCAGAGAAAAGAAATGTGCCCAAGGTCAAGTGGGAGACCAAAACAATCGCTTGATGGAGGGGGCGGCTTGTCATGCTGGACACAGAGTCACAACCACCTCGGTTTGAAGTCTGCCTCAGACATGTCCTAGCTGGGTGACTGGGCAGATCTATGACCTTTCTTTATCCATCTGCAAAAGGGGATAATAATAGTACCTACCTCACAAGGTTATTGTGAAGATTACATGGAAAAATGTCTATGAAGTGCTTACAAAGTCCTACATAAATGCTAGCTGCTATTATCATTATTATTATTATTCAAGTGCTACATAAATGCTGTCATCATCATCATCATCATTATTGTCCAAGCGCTACATAAATGCTAACTAGTATTACTGTGATGATTGTCCAAGCGCTACGTGTCCCAGGCCAAAGCTTTTGCCCCTGGCCCCATCTAGCTCCCTCATTCCACTATCCATCCTCCTCCAAGCTGTATCTGCAACTCCTGCTTTTGTGGTATTGTTTTCCCTTCTACAAACTTGCCTAGCAATTAAATATACCTCTGGTTTTCAAGGTCACTCCAGGACAGCCCTCCTGCCCTCTCCCAGAATCCTCCCCACTCTGCTTGTCCTTAGCCTGCCTGATAGTCCTCAGAACGTTTCAGGCAGACGGCTATAAACAGCTGATTAAAAAGAACTGCCCCTTCTGGGGAAAAACAAACTGTAACCCATCTCCCTCCCCAGGGGCCTCCCCAGAAGAAGCCAGGTCCCGGGCTTGCCAGAAGGAGGCGGCAAGGAGCCATAGACGAGCTAGTCAAGGGTGGCCAACATGCAGGTCAGCTGAATGTTCTTCCTTCCCTGTGGGCTGGGGAGGGGGTTGAGTGTCTTCAGACAGCTACTGAATCACACTGTCCTTTCTTCTCCACGTGGAGAGCCTGTGAGGGATGCAAGGGTCACACAGGGCAACAAATTATAGAGTTAGAAAAGACCTTAAAAACCATCCAGTCTGACTCCCTTGTTTTACAGATAGGGAAACTGAGGCACGGAGAAGTTAGATGACTTGCTCAAGGTGACACAGAAATTAAGCAGCAGAGCCAGAATTTTAACACGACCGTCTGACTCCAAGCTCAGGACTCTTTCCACTGCAACCCTTCCAGAAAGACACTAATCACAATAACTAATATCTAGGTAGCACTTCAAGGTTTGCAAAGCACAACCCCATTTAAATCCTGTCTCTGGCCCTTATAAGCTGTGTGTCCCCAAGAAAGTCATTTAACCTCTCTCAGGCTCAGTTTATCAATCTGTTAAATGGAGATAGTAATAGCATTTACCTCATAGGGTTGCCATGATCATATATGTGTAGAGGGCTTTGTGATGCAGCGGATAGAACACTGGGCCTGGAATCAGAAAGACTTGTCATCCTGAGTTCAAATCTGGCCTCAGACATTTACTAGCTGTATGACCCTGGGCAAGTCACTTCACCCTGTTTGGCTCAGTTTCCTCATCTGTAAAATGAGCTGGAGAAGGGAATGGCTAACCACTCCAGTATCTCTGCCAAGAAAACCCCAAATGGGGTAACGAAGAGTCAGACATAACTGAAATGACCAAGCCACAACAAAACGTTAGCTAGTATTATTAGTATTAAAAAGGTTGTTCAGGGCCCCCGGTCAGAGAGTTGAGGAGAATGACATGGGTCTCATGTCGCTATGCCAGACAGATAGACAGCCTATGAAAAGTGAGTCAGATGCAGTCGGCAGGACATTCTGTTCATTCCGTCGGAATAAACACACGTGTCTGTGAGTTAAACTCCGGCCGGCACTAACTCTGAACCTCATTAGCACACTATCTACTCCACAACCCACCAGCCTAATGAAGACAGGCTGGGGGAGGGGGGTGGCTAAAGGGGGAGCCTGCCTCGGGCTTGGCCTTTCTCTGGCATCAGCATCCCAGCATGTCCTGAAGCACGTCCCGCTGGGGAGCAGGCCTGTCAGGCCTCCTAGCATGATGCATCCAGGCGCCAGCTTCTACCACCCATTTGCTTAAAAGCTAACATTCTCCAGACTTATCACTATCAGCAGCCGGGCCCTGGAGTGAAGACTGAGGGAAGAGCCACATAAACACAGACCAGATTGCCAGGACCAGACCTCAAAAAGGCCAACAAAGAGGTGTTTTGAGAGCCCTCTGGTTCTCAGAACCTGACCTTGTTTGATAAGCAGAGCCCACCAGCAGGCTTCAGCCTCCAGAGGCCCTCCCAGAGAGCATCCTGAGCCAGGATTCCTGGCTTCTGGTCCTGGTTCTGTGCTGTCGGACCCCTGGGAAGCACCAGGGTCTAGTAGCCAGTGCCCTAGATTTAGAAACAGAATACTTGTGTCTGAATCAGGGCTCTGCTGCACCCTGGATGTATGTATGACCTTGGGCATGTAAGTATCATCTCCAGAGGCCTCTTCTCATCATTATTCAAAGGAGAGCCCTGAGCTAGATGGTTCCTAAGGGCCCTCCTTGCTCTAAATCTTGTAATCTCATGACTCCAACCTATTCCAACAAACATTTATTAAACAATAATTCCATGCAACTTACTGTGCTAGACACAGGAAATGAAGGCAAGCAATAAGTATTTATTAAGCACTTACTGTGTACCTTTGCACTGTTGTAAGAGCTAGATACAGGGGGGTGCAAGCAATCAGCAAACATTTATTAAGCACTTACTGTGTACCTTTGCACTGTTGTAAGAGCTAGATACAGGGGGGTGCAAGCAAGCGGCAAACATTTATTAAGCACTTACTGTGTACCTTTGCACTGTTGTAAGAGCTAGATACAGGGGGGTGCAAGCAAGCGGCAAACATTTATTAAGCACTTACTGCGTACCTTGCACAGTTGTGAGAGCTAAGGATACAAAGAAAGGCAAAAACAGTCCCTGCCCTCAAGGAGTTTACAATGTAATAGGGGAGACATGTAAATGTCTAAACACATAAAAAGTACACACCAATTAGATGAAAGGTGATTTAAGAGGGGAAGCCTCTAGCAGCAGGACAGGCAGAGAAAGGCCTAATGCAGAAGGTCATCCTTGAGCTGAGATTTGAAGGAAACCAGAGATTCTAAGAGGTAGAACTGGACATTCCATGCCAGGGCAAAGCATGGAGCTGGTAAATGGGGTATCACGTTCAAGAACCAGCATGTTGACCAACATAGGTGTTTATAGACTTCATGGAGGGGGAAAATATAAGAAGACAAGAAATAGCGAAAGGGGCCGACTTGTGAAGAGTTTTATATGCCAAAACAAGATGAAAACTAGCACTGATCAACTTTTCCACAGACTTGAAATCCCCTGCTCCAGTGCATTTCCTCACCATCCTCATCTCAGATTGTAAGCTCCTTGAGGGCAAGGACTGTCTTTCTTTTTATTAATTGTGTCCCTAGCACTTAGGACAGTGCCTGGTGCATAGCAGGTGCTTAATAAATGTTTATTGGATTTATTTCTAATCGATCTCTGACTTTCAGAATCCTCTTCCTTCAAGGCTCCCCACTTGGGCACCACCTTCTCCATGAAGACTTCGTTGACCAACCCAAGGAAAATGTTTTCTCCCTCCCTGAACTTTCCCAGGGCACTTTGCTTGATTATTTTTCCTGCCTTTTTTCTTCCTTTCTGTGTCTTGCATTTATCTGTGCACATGTAGTATGATTTACCTAGATTTTAGCAGAACATTTAGCTGAGTGTTCCTGCTATCTTTGGGCACAAGATGGAGAGATATGGGCTCGAAATGGTGTACCATGTAAATATTTGTAAATAGACAAATTTGGATCCAGTTGAATGCCCAGACCTAAAGAATTAGTTAAGGAGACAATGAGTGAATGTCAACTTGGAAAGAGATCTTAGAGGAGAGATCTAGGGATCTGTGCTGTTGAACATTTTTATCAATAACCTCAGCAAAAGTATAGATAACTTATCACAATTATGCATGATGCATAGCTGGAAGGATAACTAACATGTTGGATGACAGAGTCAGGATCCAAGAATATTTCAACACACTAGAATGTTGGGCTAGATCCAATGAGGTTAAATTTAATAAGGACAAATGTAAGGTTTTGTACTTGGGTCCAAGAAATGAACCTCCTGAATACGAAATGAGGAGGTGTGTCTAGATTGTAATTTGTCTGATAAAAATGTAGGGGTTTAGTGGATTAAAAGTTCAATAGGAGTCCACAGTGCAATGTGGCTACTCTCCCCCCCACCAAAAAAAAGAATACCAGTGTGCTGTTAAGCTGCACTGGGAGAAGTCCAGTATTTGGAACAAAGGAAAAGATAATCTCAGTGTCTTCTGGACTGCTCCAGCTACTTTAGAATCTCTGAGTTCAACTGTGGATTTCATATCTTAGAATATCTGGAGAGTGTCCAGAGGAAGATGGACCAGGACAGCTCTGCTCCAGATTGCCAAGGAGACTATAGATCACGCCACATAAGGTTCAACTGAAGGAAGAGGAAGAAAGGCTGAACTATCTTCAGTGCCCTGAAGAGCTGCCCTATAGAAGAAAGTTTAGGTTTGTCCTTCTTGGCCCTAGAAGGCAGATCAAAGAGCAGTAGATGGAAACAAGAAGAAAGCAAATTTCAGCTGAATGAAAGGAAAAACATCCTAATAATTAGAGCCAGAGAGGAAGAGAGGGAGGGAAGGGAATAAGCATTTATATAATGCCTACCATGTGCCAAGCACTGTGCTCAGCACTTGATAAATATTATCCCCTTTGGTGCTCACAACCACCCTATGAGATCAGCACTATTATTATCCCCATTTAACAGATATGGAAACTGAGATAAACAGAGGTTAAGTGACTTGCCCAGAGTCACACAGCAAGTAATTGTCTCAGGTCACATTTGAACTCAGGTCTTCCCAACTCCAGGCCCAATGGTTCCAGCAAGATGGCTAAGCATCTTGCCTAAGATGAACTCTTCTTCTTCATTTCAAAATAATTAAGAAACATGCTTGTAAGTGGGGAGAAAAAATAAAATAATATATTTTTTTAAATGTGGTGAATAAAAAATGGTAAAAGGTAGAACTAGAGTCTTTGCAATTGGAGAATTTTTCAAGTGCTAAGAGAGTGAAAATACTCAACAGGTATGGTGACATGAGGAGGCAGGTTGGTTTTGAAATCGGGGACATGTGGTACAACCTAGGTTCCAGTGTCCAAGGAATATTAATTAATAGATCCAGAAAGAGACCTCTAACTACCTATTTTTTTAATTAATTAATTATTTTTAGTTTTCAACATTTACTTTTCTAAGATTATAAGTTTCAAATTTTTCCCCTTCCTCCCCTCCTTCCTTCCCAAGACAGCACGCAATCTGATATAGGCTATATGTGTACAATCATATTAAACATATCTCCACATTAGTCATGCTGTAAAAAAAAGAATCAGAAAAAGGGGGGGGAACCACAAAAAAGAAAGAAAAAGAAAATATTGTACTTTGATTTACATTCATAGTTCTTTCTCTGGATGTGGATAGTAATTTCCATCATGAGTATTTTAGGATTGTCTTAGATCCTTGTATTGCTGAAAAGAGTTAAGTCTATCAAAGTCAGTCATCACACAATGTTGCTGTTACTGGGTACAATGTTTTCTGGTTCTGCTCTCTTCACTCAGCATCAGTTCATGTAAGTCTTTCCAGGTTCTTTTGAAATCTGCCTGCTCATCATTTCTTATAGAATAGTATTCCATTGCATTTGTATACCACAACTTGTTCAGTCATTCCCCAATTGATGGGCATCCCTTCAATTTCTTTGCCACTACAAAAAGAGCTGCTATAAATAATTTTGTACATGTGGGTCCTTTTCCCTTTTTTATGATTTCTTCGGGATATAGACCTAGTAGTGGTATTTCTGCATCAAAGGGTATGTATGCACAGTTTTATAGCCCTTTGGGCATAGTTCTAAATTGCTCTCCAGAATGGTTGGATCAGTTCACAACTCCACCAACAATGCATCAGTGTTCCAATTTTTCCACATCTTCTAAAACATTTATCATTTTCCTGTTTTGTCATATTAGTCAATCTGATAGGTGTGAGGTGGTACCTCAGAGTTGTTTTAATTTGCATCTCTCTAATCAATAATGATTTAGAGCATTTTTCATAAAACTATAGATAGCTTTAATTTCTTCATCTGAAAACTGTCTGTTCCTCTCCTTTGACCATTTATCAACTGGGGAATGATTTGCATTCTTATAAATTTGACTCAGTTCTCTATATAGTTTAGAAATGAGACCTTTATCAGAGGCACTGTCTGTGAAAATTGTTTCCCAGCTCTCTGTTTCCCTTCTAATTTTGGTTGCATTGGCTTTGTTTATGCAAAACTTTTTAATTTAATGTAATCAAAATTATCCATTTTGCATTTCATAATGTTCCCTATCTCTTGTTTGGTCATCAATTCTTCTCTTCTCCATAGATCTGACAGGTAAACTACTCCTTGCTCTACTAATTTGCTGATGGTATCACCCTTTATGTCTATATTGTGTACCCATTTTGACCTTATCTTGGCATGAGACGTTGGTCTGTGCCTAGTTTCTACCACACTATTTTCCAGTTTTCCCAAAAGTTTTTGTCAAACAGTGAGTTCTTATCCCAGAAGCTGAAATCTTTGGGTTTATCAAACAATAGATTACTATAGTAACTGACTACTATGTCTTGTGTACTTAATCTATTCCACTGATCCACCACTCTATGTCTTAGCTAGTACCAAGCAGTTTTGTTGATTGCTTCTTTAAGGGTAGGCCACCTTCCCTTGCGTTTCTTTTCATTGATTCCCTTAATATTCTGGACCTCTTGTTCTTTCAGATGAATTTTCTATTATTTTTTCTAGCTCTATTAATTAGTTTTTGGTAGTTTATAACTCCTAGTGTTAATAAAAGAACACCCAAGATTTGTTTTAAAGGCTGGGGGAAGATGTAATAATATACTCTTGGTAGAACAGTGAATTTTTCCAACCCTCTGTCCATCAACAGCACTTATTATTTACCAAGCATTGTGAAAAGCACTGGGGTGACAAAGAAAGGCAAAATCAGTGCTCACCCTGAAGGAACTCGTATTCTAAGAGTTACGGCACATGTAAGTAACTAGATTTACTCAAGAAAAGTAACTTAATTGTTCGTATCTTTCAATCCAGCAGTGAAGAGTATTGAGTTTGTGTTTAAATCCTAGAACTGCCACTTACATTTTGTGTGTCCTTGTGCAAGTCACTTCCCCTCTGTACCTCAGATTCCTTAAATGTAAAATGGGGAAGATTGGACTGGATGCTTTCTAAGTTTTCTTCCACCTCTAAACATACGGTCCTATGATTCCACTACCAGGCACATATCACAAGAAAGTCAAAGACAGAAAGGTCCCATGGATACCCCAAATAATCATAGTAGCACTTTTGTGATGGAGAATAACTAGAGACAAAGTGAGTGGCCACTGTTTGGGGAAGGGCTCAACAAAATTGTGTATGTAAATATAAAGGAACATTATTGTACTATAAAAAATGAGTAATTCCAAAGGAACATGGGAGGATTATGGCTTGACGCAGAGTAAAGAAAGCAAAACCAGGAAAATAATATACACAATGACTACAATCACATAAATAAAAAGAACACCAAATGGAAACCAAATTCTAAATAATCATCATGACCAATGTTGTTCCTAGAAAACATGTAATGAAACACATCTTTCTCCTCATAATAAAGAGGTAGAGGCAGGGGAGACCCATTGGTAGGAATGAAGTATGCAGTCAGATGAGGTTAATGTATCAGCCAATTTTGCTTAATCTTTTTTCTTTGTTACAGGAAAATTGCTCAGTGTTAGAGGAAGATTGGAGGTAATGCTAGGGGTATATCTGTGAATGACTGTGATATGAAAACAAAAAGGATTAATCAACGATTAAAATAAAGCAAGAAATGTGCCCAATAAAGTAAAGGAGCAGTCACAAAAAGGAGAGGAAAGGGAAGAAATCCCTACAAGGAAAACTTCTAAGAAAAATTAAGAGACACTGAAGAAATGAATTTAAAAAAAAGCCCTACTAAAATGAGTAAGTTGTATGGAGTAAAAGGAAGCCAAAAGAAATCTTTGGGAAAAAGAACCATACTGTGATAATAACTAGATCCCTTCTCCCCAAATGAGGATGAAATGACTGCAAGAACCCCCAGAGTGGATGAAAAACTTAATAAAAAACTAAAGGAGGCTAAAAGGAGAGAAACCAGACCTCTTAAAGAATTAAAAAAGATGGACAGGAGAATTGGTGATATAGAGCAAATGGTGGGAAACTCAATAACATAGGAATACTCTGAAAAAGTAGCAAATTAGAAGACTATCTGAGATCTTAACAAAACCAAAGCAATAGAAAAAGACTATTTGGGAACCATTATTCTCTCATAAAAACATGATGAAATGAGGAGTCTGAATGACATATTTTGCTTTAAACTATTGGAAGAGAACAAAATGTGAATTGATGAATCCATAGGATACTCAGAAAAGAACTCAATTTTAACTCAACTAGTTTACAAAATCACAGATTTAGAGCTGGAAAGGACCTCAGATATCAACAATTATTCTCATTTTAAAGATAAGGAAACTGAAACCCAGAGAGCCCAAGTTCCCATCCCCCCCACCCCCAGGAATCAGAGCCTAGATTTGAACCAGGTCTTTTGACTCCACATCTAACAGCCTTTCCATTACACTATGCTATTCCCTAGAACTTTGCTGTCAAGTAAAGACTCTTACAAGTACCCAGGAACGGGCAATCAAGTGATTTGCCCAAGTTCACACAAGTATAATAAATGCCAGAGATAGGATTTGAACTCAGGTCCTCTAGACTCCAGAGCTACTCTTCTTTCTCCAGTACTATGCTAAAAAGCAAAGAAAAAAGTCCTGTAATCTAAAAAAAAATCCTGTACTATGTTCTAGAACTGTGAGTATATTCCGACATAAAAAGACAGACCTTCAACAAGATGACAAGTTTCCAGTTATTCGTTCACTGAAAAACAGAGATGAGTATAGTCTTTAAAAAGCAAATGTAGTCAACAAAAGAAACTTATTAAAGGTAAATAAGCAATGACTAAATAGTGATATGCTGGAAGGAGCAAACAAGATAAATTCTTTAATCCAGCTTGTTGGATGTTCATTGAAGGAATATAGAGCGAATAGTTACGGGACAGTCTCATAAAGAGTGATCAAATTGAAGTCTCATGAGGAAGGAAGGAGAGGGGAAAGATAAAAAGTCAATTAATATTTCTTTAAATCAGGCGAAGGTTATTAAAAAAAAGCTAGAGGGATGAAATGAGGAGATGGGAGCTCTTGAACATCATTCTCATCTGTACTGGACAAGAGTTATATGAGAAAATTATATCAGTAAAAGTAAAACCTAGGGATCTAGTGTAGGACTGGACTAGGCAGGGAAAGGGTGGTAACTGGGTTAGTGTGGAGGCTGGGATCAGATTGCTTTGAGCAAAACAAGCTGCAGTAACATTCTGATGCTTTAATTTTTAAAAAGGCAATATAAAAAGATTAGATGGAGAGGAAAGCAAAGAACAATTCCAAACTTGAGTCTTAATGGGCTAAACTTATCTCTTCAAAAAGAGAAGAGAGTTAAAGAATGGATTAGAAAATAACATAACAACAATAACAGTACACTTAAAAAATAAAGGCACATATAGAATTGGGTAGGATGGACTGGAATAAAATATACAGTGTGTCCCAAAAGTCTTGGTGAGTTGTAAGCTGTAAAACTTGTATTATGCTGAATTTAAAAAAAAAAAATTAAGGGCCAAAATCATGATTTCAGATAAGGCAACAGTGAAAATTGATAATATCAAAAGTAACAAACAAGGAAACTATACTACACATAAAATCATCTTAGATAATGAAAGAATATCAATACAAAATATTGTACCAAGGAAGCACCATGATTCATTGGAAAGAATATAAGTTCAGGGGACATTGGATTCAAATCCTGACTCTGCCACTTAACTACCTTTGTGACCTTGGGCAAGTCACTTAACCTCTCTCAGCTCCATTTTCTTAACCTATAAAATGAGAGTTGGAATAGATGACTTCCAACTAAATCTATTAGGATAATAGGATCCTAGAATTAGAGTGGTAAAGATCTTTTATGACCCAGTGGTACTTCTAATGGTGTATCATCTTAGTATTTAAAGGAAAAGTCAACTGAAATGTAAAAAGAATTGGATAGTAAGACATGATAGTAAGTTACTTCAATATGCCTCTTTCAGACCTTGATAAATCTAACAAAGATAAACAAGGAGTAAATTATGAAACTGAACAAGAAATTGAAAAACCTGGATCTGGGAGCTCTAAGGTGATTATTGAATGGGAATCTAAAAGAATGTGCTTGCTTTCAGCATTACATGATACCTTTACAAAAAATGATCTTGTGCTAGGGCATAAAGAACTCCTAAGTATGTAAATATAGAAACATTTAGCAAATTCTTTAGACATCACATTCTTTACATTCTTTCCTTAAAAAGTAGTAATCAGTCATAGAAATATGAAAAAGATGCAGCTCTAGATGGAGACTAAATAATAATATCCTAAATGATTCCTGAGTCAAATCAAAACAAATAATTTTATTGGAGAGATCAATAAAGAGACAATATACTAAAATTTATGGCATATTCCTAAAGCAATATTTAAAGGGAAATTTATATTTCTAAGCAGTTATATTAATAAAAGAGAAAAGGATGGGGATAATTAATTGAATGTGTAATTTTAAAAATTAGAATAACATTAATTGATCATCCTAACAATTAGAGCTATCCAAAACTGCCTCATGAAATACTAGGTTCCTCCTCATTTGAAATCTTCAAGAAAAGACTGGATGACCATTTGTTGGGCATGTTGAAGAGGAAATCCTGTACCCTTAGGTGTACAAAGTGCGGGGTTTGAGAGCAAAGAGAGACTCTGTCTGACAGGAAGGTCAAAGGAAGACCCAGAATTTGGTAGCATGTAGGATCTAGAAAAGGAGGAAGAAGGAGTCAGAGAGTGTCCAGAGCCTTCAAGCCTGGAGCCTGGTACTTCCCTCAAGAACTCCTACCCCAATGAAAGCCAAAGATACCATGTGGAGACATTGAGGGCAAGCAACCAGGTCTGCCCTCACCCAAGGGCATCAGACTCTAATCCTTTGAGGTTTGCATAGAGATATGGTATGCATGTAAAGTCAAAATAACTAGAGAAAGATCATGAGTATAGTGGGTGAATACTCTATGGAGGATGTATGGGAGGACATGGACAAGGGTCACAGAGGATGAGAAGGTGCAGACAGGGAGGCATCATGATACAGTGAAAGGAGGCCTGGCTCTGGAGTCTGAGGTCCCAGATTCAAGTCATTTAATTTCTTCAGAGCTTAGTTTCCTCATCTGTGAAATAAAGGGTTTGGAGTTGGACTAAAGGCCTCCAAGGTTCCTTCCTGCTTTAGATCTAGAACCCTATGATTGTGATCCCCCCCCACCCTCTACCATCATGGAGGACCCACATGGATGAAATCACAAATCCTCCAAAGGGACTTAAGCAAAGGAAGTGCTGAAGTAGTCACGAGGTAAGAAAGGGCTGAAGGTAGGTGGGGAAAGGAGGAGGCACATGAGAAAGATATCATAGTGCAGAGTGAAATGAGCAGAGCCAGAAGGATGCTGTACACAGTGATAGCAATATTGTATGATGACCAATCGTGAATGACTTAGCTCTTCTCAGCAATACAATGATCCAAGCCAGTTCCAAAGAACTCATGATAAAAAATGTTATCCATCTCCAGAGAAAGAATTGATGGAATCTGAATGCAGATTGAAGCACACTTTTTTTTTAACTTTATTTTTCTTGGATATTTTTTGGTCTGTGTTTTCTTTTGTAACATGGCTAATATGCAAATACATTTTGCATGACTGCACATGTATAATCTATATCAAATTGCCTGCCTTCTCAAGGGAGAAAATTTGGAACTCAAAATTTTTTAAATGAATGTTAAAAATTATTTTTACATATAATTGAAAAAAGAAAAAGAAAAAAAAGAGTGGAAGGAAGAAAGAAAGAGAAAGAGAGAAAGGAAGAAAGAAAGAAAAAGAAAGGAAGGAAGGAAGGAAGGAAGGAAGGAAGGAAGGAAGGAAGGAAGGAAGGAAGGAAGGAAAGAAAGAATAGATAGAATCATATATTCAGGAAATCAGGGTAGACTCAGCCCAGGTGCAAAGGAGGATGGGGAGGTGCCTTGGACAGCTATGGTTTCCTCCAAGAAAGCCAACCTTGAAGACCCAGCTCTGAACCCTGGTTCTGTCCACCAGCCTCTGAATGGGTATGGTTCCAAGAGGCCTGGTCATGACCCCCTGCCACTGAACCCAGCTCCAGTCAGCTGCTGAGAAGTTTCCCCACAGGCTTGGTTCCTGGTTAACTTCCCTAGATTCTGCTGCCCGAGTGATGTCACAGCCTGGGGAATGGAGCTGGCCACAGTCCCAACGGCAGAGGCTATATTTGGAGCCCGGCGAATCCCAGCCCATGCACTCAGGACGTGAGGCTGGAAGACCATGACTGTGTGTATGTGTGTGTGTGTGTGTTTGCTTGCACGCCTGCCTGCTGCCTTGTGGGGATGTGACTCAGATGCACATGGTGTCTCTGTAAGCACCCTGGGCTGGCAGCGAGGTTATGTTATGGGCTTCCTGCCAAGACAAATAGGGATTGTTTTGAGTCCATATTACATTTCTCCAGCATGAATAAGTCCCCCCTGCAGCCAGTGAGAAAAAGACACTCCAGGAGAAGAGACGCAAACCTAAGCTGCTCCCTCCATGCAGACAGGCTGCAACAGGAAGCGCATTCCAACTGGCCTGGCGATGCCCGCCTCCAAATTCCAAGCAGGTCCCAACAGGGTCGTGTGGATGCAGGCAGTAGGGCCTCACTTGCCGCAAGACCAGCTTGGTTCACTAGTCATGGTGGGGACCCAGATTTCCTCCTCCCCTCTCCTCACCCACACTTCTAAAAAAGCCAGGGAGTTAGGAGTAATAATAGCCCTTCACACATGCGTTTCAAGGACTTCACAATTTCTACCACCTTCACATGTATGAGACCCTCATCACAGTCTTGAGAGGGAACCAGGGCAGGGACCGTGAGTCTCATTTTATAGATGAGGAAAAAGTGTGATGTACTGGAAAGAGAACCAGGCATGAAGGCAGAAGACTCATTTTCCAATGCCAGGTCATCCTCCTACCAGCTGTGGATGAGCAGGGCAGGTCACCTGAAATCTCTGGGCCTCAGTTTTCCTCCCTTGTAACATGGAGGTAATTCTACCTGTACTTTCTGCCTCACAGGGTAATTGTGAGGGTAAAAGGAATCAATGCCCATAAAGTGATTTGCAAATCTTGGAATAATATATGCTAGCAAGTTTGAGTGTTTAACCAGGAACAGAACCCAGGTTTTCAAATTCCTGGTCCATTCCTGTGCCATGCTGCCCAGAGAGGAGGAGTCTGCATTCTTGGCCCACTCTTCCTCTTCTTCTGGCCTCTAAGAGATCTTGCTGGGAGGCTTACTAAGGCTGAAGCAATACTGGAAAGGTCCCTGAAATGCCCTATGAAAGCCCAGGAATG